GTATAATTAAAAAGGATTTTATTTAGTATAACTTTTTATATTTATTTTTGTATACATATATACATATATATAAAATAAAAATTGAGGTGTATAGGCAGCTCGGGTGTATAGGCAGCTCGGGTGTATAGGCAGCTCGGGTGTATAGGCAGCTCGGGTGTATAGGCAGCTAACAGTGTGAGTGCTCTTCTGAGTTCTGTTGTTGTTTCTTTGTGTATAATCATTTCTTTTAAAAGATTCATTTCTCTTTCTGCAAATATATACGGCAATTCCTTCAGGCGTAGACACTGCAGCTGCGCCTCAAGCGCGCTGCTGCTGCTGCTGCTGCTGCTGCTGCTGCTGCTGCTGCTGTTGCTGTGGAGACGGGGGTCCTGGGTCTGCAGCTCGAGGGCCAAAGGCAGCGCAGCAGAGCTGCATGCAAAGCTATTAAGGTTGTTGTTGCTGCAGTTGTTGCTGTTGCTGCTGCTGCTGCTGCTGCTGTTGATGCTGCTGCTGCTGCTGCTGCTGCTCATATGCCCGCAAGGCAGCAGCGGCAGCGGCCCCTGCTGCTGTCTGTACACCTCACGCCCATCGCAAGAGTTGAAGGGACACAGTGCATGCATAGATCCAGCAGCACAATCCCCTGCTGCTGCTGCTGCTGCTGCTGCTGCTGCTGCTGCTGCATGCATATCTGCAGCACAAGGGTGAGAGCCCTGAAATGCTGCTGGGTGGCCGCCAGAGGCCAGCGGTGGATTCGAAGAAGCAAAACACTGCTGCTGCTGCTGCTGCTGCTGCTGCTGCTGGAGCTGAAGCTGCTGCTGCTGCTGTTGCTGCTGCAGCTGTAGATGAATCTGCTGCTGCTGCTGCAGCGGGTGCTGCTGCTGCATTTGCTGCTGCCTGTCGTGCAACTGCCCTGCATGCGGATGTTGCTGCTGCATGTGTCCGTACATATGCATCGAATGCTGCTGCTGCTGCTGCTGTTGCTGCTGCTGCTGCATATGCAAAAGGTGCTGCTGCTGCTGCTGCTGCTGCACGTGCGCCAGTTGCTGCTGCTGTTGTTGCTGCTGCTGCTGCTGCTGCTGCTGGTGGTTGTCTTCGATGGTGTGTTGCATTTGTTTGTTTGGTGTGAATTGCTGCTGCTCATCAATATGCGCCGGCCAATGCATCTCTGCTTCACTTGCTGCTGCTGCTGCTGCTGCTGCTGCTGCTGCTGCTGCTGCTGCTGTTTTGTGTGCATTAGAGGGGCTTCCGCCTCTGGGTACGCCAGCAGCAGAAACCCCAAATTCAGGGGTCGATAGATTGCTGTTGCTGTTGCTGCTGCTGCTGCTGCAGGCCGCATGCAGCGGGCTCAGTGCTTCTTCTGTTGCTGCATGCGCTGTTGTGTCTGTGGAGAATATTTCGTCCTCGTCCATCATCTTTGCTGCTGCTGCTGCTGCTGCTGCTGCTGCTGCTGCTGCTGTTGCTGTTGTTGTTGCTGCTGGAGCTGACGCGGGACTGCACTTGTTGCATGCGTTGCTGCTGCAGTGGAAGCAGCAGCTGTTGCTGCTGCTGCAGTTGCTGCTGCTGCTGCTGCTGCATCTGTGGCTGCTGCAGCAGATGCTGCTGTCGTAGCAGCTTTCTCCCCCTCTCTCTGCATCTCCTGCTGCTGCACGGCGCGAAGGTCCCTCTGCTGCTGCTGCTGCTGCTGCTGCTGCTGCTAGCGTGCGTGGGCTGTGCCTGCGGTGAGTTTTTGTTGTTGCTGCTGCACCTGCTGCTGCAGCAGCAGCAGCAGCAGCAGCAGCAGCATTCTTGCGGAGACAAGGCTGCTGCTGGACTGCTGCAGCAACACGGGCGGCTTTGATCTCAGCAGCACTAAGAGATTTGCTTCTGCTGCTGCTGCTGCTGCTGTTGCTGCTGCTGCTGCTGTTGCTGTTGCTGCTGTTGTTGCTGCTGTTGTTTCTGCACGTACCCGCTGCTGCAGCACCCCCACCAGCAGCAGCAGCAGCAGCAGCAGCAGCAGCAGCTTTTGTGTGGCGGTAGGGGGGGGCAGACCTGGTGCGCCCTTTGCTGTCTCCCCTTTCATCAGCAGCATTCTGCTGCTGCTGCAGCAGAAACAAATAAAATAAAATAAAATAAAATAAAATAAAATAAAATAAAATAAAATAAAATAAAATAAAATAA